TGCTTCAGCTCTCGCTGGTCGGCTGCAGCACTACCAGCACCCCGGATGGCCGCACTCTTCCCTAGTGGAGAATAACCCAGTACCTCAGTTGAAAATGCAGAAAGCACCGGTCTTCTTGTGGTCGCTCGCCACTCGCGCTGGGAGTTGGAGACTGGAGCTGTTCCTATTCGGCCATCTTGCTCCACCCCCCTTATATTATTTTTCATAGAAAACCTTCAGAAGGCTCTGTTTATATTACTCAAAGGCATTAATTCCTTAGTTCATGTCATTTTTCTTCCACTGCAATAACTAGTATGTGTGCCTGCTAGAGGGACAGCTAATGGATTTAGCTGCACAAATGATACAATGGTCAGGCAGCTAAATACATCCTACTAGCCCTTTAGACTGTTACTTGTTTGTGATTATTCAATTTACTATTTTTATTCAAAAGTTATAGCATGCTATTATCAAAATCCTAGCTAAGAAGTGTTCTATAATGGTGTCATGCCCACTAGACACTACGTCACTGATGTTGTATTATTATTTGTATAAATAATACTATAACCATAATAAATTCTACCCATTTACTATTGTTTTGAAGCCAAATGCTCTTAATTATGTTTAATATCAAACTGATACTATGTAAAATGCATCAAACTGTCTACAATGAGGTAGGCAGTATAATCCTGAAAAATAATGCATGAAATCCATAATTCATTAAGTAGGATGCAGCACATTAAGAGAAAACCATCTCCTTGGGACAGATTTCTTTTTTTAAATTTTATTTTGGGTGTCCATGTGTAGCTTTGATATAAAGGTAAATTAAGTGTCACAGGGTTTTGGTATACAGGTTATTTCATCACCCAGTTGGTAAACATAGTACCCGACAGGCAGAGAGTTTCAATTTTTACCCTCCTCCCACCCTTCACCCTCAAGTAGGCCCTAGTGTCTGTTGTTCCCTTTTTTGTGTCCATGTGTATTCAGTGTTTAGCTTCCACATGTAAGTGAGAACATGCAGTATATGGTTTCCTGTTCCTGCATTGGTTTGCTTTGGATATTGTCTTCCAGCTTCTTCCGTGTTGCTACAAAGGACATAATCTCATTTTTTTTTTTTTACAGCTGCATAGCATTCCATAAGATACATGTACCACATTTTTTTTGTATCTGATCTACTGTTGAAGGGCATTGAGGTTGATTACATGTCTTTGCTATTGTGAATACTGTTGTGATGAACACACACATGCATGTGTCTTTATGGTAGAATGATTTATATTCCTTTGTGTATATACCCAGTAATGGGATTGCTGGGTCAAAAGGTAGTTCTCTTTTAAATATGTGCCATTATCCCAAAATTCACACCATCCTGCTGCAGAGCCATATATCCCTGAATCACAAATGTGTCTAAATGCTGCTGCACTGATTCATCTGCCTAAGCATGTGTTTCTGTGAAGGATAAAAAACTAATACATCTGATCGTTCTGGAGAAATGGAGGCCCATGCGAAGCTTCATGAAAACGTTAAGACTATAAACACCCAAATTACTGTGTAATCCCACATGGGACACTTCCCATGTTTCCCCTATGAGAACATAAAAATCAATTTATTAAGACACACTTGAAAGTATCTGCTTCAATGGCAAGAATAAGAATGGTAATGACAGAGTGGAGAAGTGAGGCCACATACTGATGTGAATGCCTCCTGGCAATGCAAGCAAACAAATTTATAAAGCCTACTAAAGGAAATTTGGCATTGCTTCAAAGGCTTCATGAAAAAAGATTTCATTGGCTCAAAATATAAGACTATCTTAAAGTAGTATTCTGAGATATACTTCAATGTCTTTATTGTCACATTATCCATATAAAAGAAAGGAGAAAACCTCATATACTATGTTTGAAAGGTGTCTCGAAGATAGTTTGGAAGTTATTAAGTACTATAAAAATGTAATGACTGTCATTTCCTTAGCATTCTCTCTTTTATCGTTTGCTACCAGTATGAGTACTAAATAAGGAATCACTGCTCTTTGTTGACTTTTACAAGCCATAACAGTCTTCTCTTTAAATTTCTATGATTTTTTCTTAAATTCACTGAGATGGCACTATCAACTCTAGCTAATAATTTGGCATACACTTTTAATTCCCATGTGCAAATTACAAAAGACAAAAAACAATCAATGACAGAAAGTGATTTGTTAGTTGATAATGCTCATTCATTGGTAGGATAATAAGAATGTATTATATAACCTGTAACTAAAATATCTGCCTTACTTGGCAAACAGTTTCTTTTGGATAACTTCCTTTATTATTCTTTTAACATCTTTATTCCTCAGGCTGTAGATCAATGGGTTTAACATAGGACTCATAAAGATATAAAAAACAGCTACAATTTTCCCCTGTTCTACACATGCCTCAGAAGGGGGCCTTAGCACATGCAAAACAGCATTCCATAAAAGACAGTGACAGCAGTTTTGTTACTAAAACAAGCCCCTAATGATCTCTCTACCTCAAATTGCACTTCCTTCCATACATTCTTCACATGGTAGCTGGAATTTTTTGTAGTAACTTGGTCTCTACTGATAACATCTGAAAGGTAAGAGATCTGGATACCATGAAATGCCAGCTGATGTGAGTTGGCAAAGTAACATCATTAATTCATACGCTAATGGTTACTTTACAGCTACTATGATTCAAACATTTGTCCAGGTTCTAGGGATATGGCATAAATAATATTCCTGTGTTCATATAGCTGTTCCCTCCCATTCTCATTGTCTGTTAAACTGTGGTAGTTGGTTATTTTTGAGATTTAAGTTATGTAGAATAAGTGGGATTTACATACAGTGGCCATAGTCTCCAGGAGCTTTGAACAGTTAGTCCAACTAACTATTGGGAAAAAGCCTCATGGCAGAATGAAATAGAGTTAGGGTAAATGGAAGTAGATTTGGTCATTTGTAAGTTTCCTTAGAGTCCTGACATCTCATGGTTTGATGATTCTAAGTAGAGACATAAGAGACTGCTCTAAAAATTTTACTTAAAGAAGCTTTGACTTCCTTGTTTCTCAAACTGTAGATGAGAGGATTCAACATGGGGATGACTACTGTGTAAAAGACAGACAGCACTTTGTCTTGATCCATTGAGTAGCTGGAACTGGGATGCAGATACATGAATAGGATTGTCCCAAAGAAGATGGTGACCACCGTCAAGTGGGAAGCACAGGTGGAGAAGGCCTTGTGCATCCCTTCTGCAGAGTAGATCCTCAAGATAGCAGCAAGGATGTAGAGACAGGAAACAAGAATCAGTAGGAGACAGCTCAATTCATTAAAACTGGCAAAGGCAAAAATGACAACCTCATTGCCATGTTAGCCCATGCTATTCAGGCCTTTCACTCCATCACTCCCTGGAAATCGCTTTTGTTCAAGACATCATTGGTCTTGATTGCTAAATCTAATGGTGAATTCTCAGGCCTCATTTTTCTAGATATGTCAATAACATTAACATAATTAATTACCTACCACTCTAAAACGCCTCTTTCTCTACTCTTCCAGAACATCAAGCTCTCTGTTTTTTCTTCCTGCTACATGGCTTGCTCCTTCTGTCTCCGTTCCTTGTTCCTCCTCTTCTCCCTCTTTGTGTGGGAGTGTCTCAGAGCCTCCTCCTTCTCTATTTCCACTATACCCAGGTGCTCTTATTGTCTGATGGTTTTAAATATTGTCTATGTACTTGTACCTTCTGAGCCACATCTCTAGTCCTGTCCTCTTTTCCAAACTCCAGGCTTATAATTTAACTGCTTACATCTCCATATGCCTATGAAACGGCAACTTAACATGACCAAAACTGAATTCCTCATATCCTCCTCTTATTTGCTCCAAACATAGCACTCCCCATCTCAAGTCAATGACAGCTCCATGCTTTCATTTGCACAGATAAAATTAAATAAATAGACAAAAATATTGGCTAAATGGTATTTTCTCTTTCTTACATGTTGGATAGCCAGTCAATCAGATTATCCCATTGGATTTTCCTTTAAAAGATTTGTATCCTAAGCCAGCTATCTCTGCCACTTTCATTGCCACTAAATACCAAGCCGTCTTTTACTTACATTGTTACAGTAGTCTTTTAAACTGATTCTCCTATCTCTAAAATAGCTAAAATTCTATTCTATAACCTCTTTAAAAAGTTGCAGCCATTCTTTAAGTCTCTTATTTTTGCATAAATATATATGTACATACATATGATCAATCACATTATATATGTAATAAATGTATAAGGTGATGTAAAAGCTATATTTTCTCTGATATATATGGTCCTCTGAGTGTATGGGTATGTTATATGTGTGTGTGTACATATTTTTATATATATGTGTATAAACACACACACATACATATAAATATATATGAGGGAAGAAACTTGTTTAGCTTTTGTAACTTTTCCCACCATGTGTACATAATTTAGATTCATATTTAGAAAAATATATGTGGAGTGGCTTACAGTCCATTTATTACAAAAGAGCATTGGATATATCATCTCTCATGGACATATGGATTGCAACAAACTTAATCAAGATAGAATTATCCTTGTATTAAACATAAATTTGAACTAAGGAATATTAACTTGTTTGATGTCACAGAGCAAGCGCAACTAAAATTCAAGAAAAAGCTTGAAAATTGTTATCAGTTTATCAATTTATGTATTTAATGGCATAAAAGTATTCAATTTAAGGTTTTTCCTAGAGAATTAAATATGTCTTTGGGTTTTGGCTCCCTTTATATAAAACATTAATTAAATTTTCATAGTTTTACATCACACACATTTGTGTATATATACATGTATACGCACATTCCTGTATGTATGGGTATATATATGTTGAATATTCTATGAAATTGTTTCTAGTGATTCTAAATCTCCCTATTTTAAAACAATTTATGTTCACAGTTTAGTTGACAATATTAAATTTTGTATTTCAGACATATTTAATTTAAGATGTTTAATCCAAATTTCTTAAATTTTTTTAAGCCCTCTTGAAACTTTCTACATTGGAACAAGTTATGATAAATTACATGATCTTACCTTCTGTCCTTAAGTAATATTCACTGAAAATAGTGGTTCTTATTAATTTACTTTTGTTTTGTAGGAATACAGGTTTTCTGTTTCCAACAGTCAGATTTATGGCTTTGAAAAACCGTGCAAGTGACATAAGGGAATCAACTATGGCAGAATTCAGCAGTGCATTTTATCCTTTAATTCAACAAAGGATAAAATGCACTGCTTTTGAATCCAAGGCCCAAGATCAAGTCTTATTAAGGCTGTGATCATTCTCTGGAGATTAGTCTCTGTTAAACACTAAAAAGTCTAAAGTCTGAAATATGCCAATCCATAATTAAAAAGTGAACTCATTCTTCACTGAGGTAATTGAACAAATTTTTCCCCAGTGCATCATTTATACCTGAAAGAGTATCTTAGGAATTTAGAGAAGAACAAAAAGTATTTCATGATCCAGAGGCTCCACTGAACACAGCATTGAATTAAATCTATAGGATTGATCAGATCCTGCCTCCAACCCTCAGAATTCCACTTAAAATACAATTCTTATTCATTTCTACTAGAATATGGCTTTCATTTCATAAACTTCTTTATTCACTCAAAAAATATTAATAAGTTTGTTTCATGAAGCAGACACCACTCTTGGTACTACTAAAATAGCCAAGAAAATTAATCTTGCCCATTCCCTCTTGCATCTTACCATGTGGCATTGGTAGGAGACAACTATTAAAAAGTAATTTGAAAAACTAAAACACAAAACCTCTTTATGAGCTACTATGCCTTATGTGATCTGCCTTCCTTTCTCAGAATCTTCCTGATTGCTGTTCTTTACCTCCTTTAGTTTTCTCTCTTTGGTTCACATATATTTGTATATTTGTCTCTTTGCAATTCTTTTGAGAAACCAAAAAGGATCTTGCCTTGGAGCCTTTGTGTGTAATGCATGTGTACACAGAAAGCTGTTCCACAGACATTCACATGGTATCATCCCTATCCAGGCATTGCTCAGATGTTCTTCAACAGAGAGCTGTTTTCTCACTTCATTTTATTGCCCGCTTTGTTTTTCTTCAAAACGCCATTTATGTTTATGTGAAATGCACACACACATTCGCACATGCATAATACATTTGACAGAGACAATACAATCTCTCTCACTTAAATATAAGTTTATTGAGATAAGAAACTTGGTTTTCTTACCTGTTATATCTCCAGTATAAGTTACATGCAAGTTATTCAACAAATATTTAATGGATTATGAGTAAAGGTATAAAAGTTGCCAATTTTCTTGCTCCAGCACAAACTAAAGAAATACAATAGTAAGTTGGTACAAAAATATTATGGTTTTTGCTATTTTTTTAAGTATTGCAAAAAACTGCAACTACTTTTGCAGCAACCTAATAGAAAATACAATCTGTGACTTAATATTGAGATAAGTTTAAGTCCAAAGACATAAGTATGATTTGCAGGTATAGTCTCGTCTAGTAGTACAAAAGGTGGGATTGTTTTACATATGTCTGACTATCATAACCAAGAAGAGAAAACTAATTTCTTAATCCTTTAATGTATCCAAAGTCCCTACATGCCAGGTTGTTAATTAAATACATGAATTCAGAACTTGGGTGAGAGATCAAGGCTAGAGATACAGGTTTTGGAATCATGGCACAGTCCTTAGGTCACCCAAGAATTAAGTGCAGGCTGAGAACCAAACGTCAAAACTATGACTTTTGCTCCAAGATATAAAGGTCAGCATGAGATGGAGGAAAAAAGACAAATGCTCACTGGGAAGAGGTAGGAGTGAAAGAAGGAAAAACAGAAGAGTGAGGTGATATAGAAACCTATATAGGGGTATATCAAGGCAGGTGGAGGAATTAATTGCCACAAATCCTGAGATATCAAGTAAAAGTGAGACAGAGAAGTGATCTTTGGATAAAGTAGCATTGAGTTGTCATGTGTCCTCGATAAGATTAGGCTCAATGGATATATGTTACAGAAATACAACTGGACCATGATATAGTGTTAATAAGATAGGAGGAAGTCAGGGCAATGAGTAGAGGTAGTTCTTTTGGAAAGATTAATTATAGAAGGGAGTAGGGATAAATTAATAAGTTGGTGACTGGATGGGACTTACTGTCAAGGACACTGTGAAGAAGGTGGCACTAGAAAATATTTGTATATAAATGAGGATATTATGATAGAGTTTGAGATACTAATGCTTGGGGAGAGTAGAGGTATAATTTCAGAAGTAAAATCCGTGGAAAACTCCAAAGACATGAAAGAGCTGGTCTTAGGTAGAAGCAGAGATACATTATCCATAATGACGTGAAGGGAGAAAGAGAGCATTTATAAAGATTTAGAGGTGGTAAGGTGAGGATGATCATATCTTCCCCCCCTGCCGCCCTCCGCCCGCAGGACGAAGTATGAGGAAAGTTCAGTAACACAGAGTAAAGTGATGATGAATTCTAATTGTATTAAGCAGTTTAAATGGGGGACACATAGAAGAAACAACTAAATTTAATTAAATGGGTATTTAGACAGATGAGCAAAGTGGAGGGAGGGTGGAACCATGGAATTGAACATAACTGATAGCGCATCATTATGTGATAGACTGTGGAATCTCAACTGGGCAATGAGTGAAATGCAGACATAAGACAGTGATGAATAATGATAAAGTACAAATGTCCTTAGAGCGGTGATTTAAGAGAAAAATTAAGGGATAAATATGATAGCAGATGAACCAGAATAAAAATAAATATGAAGGAGAATGCAAGTTCTGATACAGTTTCGGATGTGTTTGAGAGAAACCTTAGTTAACAATTGAAAGTGGAAGTTATTGGGATATGACATGAGAGGGCTCTTCAGGTGGTTAGGAGGAAATAGTTCTTCCTTTGTGGTCTCTAACGAATATTTTATTTATTTATTTATTTACTTATTTATTTTTGAGATGGAGTCTCTGTGTGTGTGTGTATATATATATATGATACTAGGGTATTAAAAAGTATACTTCATCTTAAATTATCTACTTTAACACAGAGAAACAGCTTAAACAATCAGAGAATACAATTAACATGAAAATGTGTTCTCTTCTTCATAACAAATGATGCGTGACATGGCTTTACAAGATGTGTTTCTGTAAGATCTTCTTTAGGGCGTTTTTTACATCCTTATTTTTTAAACTATAGATGAGGGGATTTAGCATCTCATCTATAGTTTAAAATATAGATTATAAGTAATAATCCTTAGGGATTATTACTGTATAAAAGAGACAACCTTGTCCTGCTCCATTGAGTAGCTAGATGTAGGGCGCAAGTACATGAAGAGGATTGTTCCAAAGAATGTAGTGACAGCCATGAGGTGAGAGGCACAGGTGGAGAAGGCTTTGTGCCTGCCCTCTAACGAAGGCATCTTCAAGATGGCAATGAAGATACACAGGTAGGAAATGAGGACAATCATAACACAGCAGATGACATTAAAACTTGAGAAAGCCATGATCACAATGCCATTGACATGGGTATCAGAGCAAGAGAGTTTGAGCAGCGGTGGGGTATCACAGGAGAAATGGTTGATCCTATTAGAGCCACAAAAGGACAATCTAAAAGTCATCCCTGTGTGTATGGCTGCATTTCCAAAACCTGCTAGGAAGGAGGTAGCTATTAGCCAAAAGCAAATTCTCCCAGACATGAGTACTGCGTAGAGCAGGGGATTCCAAATGGCTGCGTAGCGGTCGTATGCCATCATCGCCAACAGGAAGCACTCAGTCCCCAGGAAGGAGCCAAAGAAGTAGAACTGGGCAGCACATTCATGAAAAGAAATGGCCTTATTCTCAGCCATGAGGTTCACCAGCATCTTGGGAGTGACGGAAGAAGAGTAAGAGGCATCCACAAAAGAGAGGCTACTGAGAAAGAAGTACATGGGGGTGTGGAGACAGAGATCAATCTTAATCAATACAATCATCCCCAAATTGCCCACCATGGTTGCCATATAGATTAACAGAAATAATGCAAAGAGGACCCCTTGTAGATCTGGATTGTTGGAAAGTCCTAAGAGGAGAAATTCTGTCACTTCTGTTTGATTTCTGCCTCGAACCTCTTTCATAAGTCTCATCCTTTGAGCTGCAATAAGAAAGAAGATCCAAAGTGGAATTTAGTCAGATAAATACATGATGGAGCTATAATATATTTTTAGTGAAACATAAATTCCAACAGAAAAGCAAAAAGTGAAAAGCATAGTAAAAGGTATGTTGGATTTGATGTCAAATCAAAAGACTTGTAGCTTAGTACTAGGTGTGCTGCCTACTAACACATGACTGAAGCGAGTGGTTTAGTATCTATTAACTACAGTCATTCCTAGATTTAACTATTTATTGAATAATTAAAATAACTTATTCTTAAGATGTTATTGCCATAATTACATGTGATAAATATATTAATTTATATATTGACATACCCTCCAGACAGAACTACTGGAGAAGGATAATAGAATGAATTCAGGCCACTGACAGTTCCTCCTCAGTACTAATAGAATGAAGAAAAATCTTGAAAGTTAACAAAATTAATCAATAGTGCCAGACAAGAAAAATAGTTGGGCTGGGCATGGTGGCTCACACCTGTAATCTCAGCACTTTGAGAGACAAAAGCAAGGCTGATCACTTGAGCTCAGAAGTTCAAGACCAGCCTGAGCAATGTGGCAAAATCTCATCTCTACAAAAATTTTTTTTTTAAATAGCTGTGGGTGGTGGCTCATGCTTGTGGTCTCATCTACTCAGGAGACTGAGGTGGGAGGATTGCTTGACCCTGGGAGTTTGAAACTGCAGTGAGCTGGGTTTGTGCCACTACACCACTCCAGCCTGTGCAATAGAATGAGACCGTGTCAAAAAAAAGAAAAAGAAAAAGAGAGAGAGAGAAAGAAAGAAGGAAAGAAAGAGAGGGAGAGAAAGAAAGAAGGAAAGAAAGAGAAAGAAAGAAGAAGGAAGAAAGAAAGAAAAGAAAAGAGACGGAAGGAGAGAGGGAAGGAAGGAAGGAAGGATAAAAATAACTCTTAGGATACAAGAAGAACTTTAAAAATGTCTGGCCAAAGAAGAAAACAAATAGAGAATATTCCCACACAGCCAGTACAGTTCGAACCCCGCTCTGATTTCCCAGGATGAACATCTACAGAGAACAGAAGATGGTCAGTTAACTAGTAATTTTCCAAAATTCACTCCAATATTTAGAGAATCCAATTATAAGAATGAGTAGGCATCCCTGAAAAAAATGACAGAAGTAGCCAAGGCAGTGAAAATCTCTAATACTCAGAGTCACAAGTTCTCAAGAGAACCACAAAACATCAGAAGTAGCACATGCAATTTTTCAGCCACCATACTGAATCAGGGGAATAATTTAATACCAAGTAATCAAAATGGAGATAAGAGTCACCCTTTGCAAGGTGTAATGAAGACAAATATAGGACATGACAAGTAAAAGAAAGAAAAAAGAAAATTCAGAATAGATGCCTAGATCTTCCAAATCAAAGTTTAAATGCCACCAGTGGAATTATTCTCCACTTTAACTCAAATCCCCACCCCTTCCATGATCTCAGATTATTGAACAAAAGTTTAAACTTTACCGGGCTAATTGTTAAAATCTATCTCAGAAGGTAAGACAGAGGTAAATCTTTTACTACTCACAGAAAGAGGTTATTTGATACTGCCTAAATGAAAAACATGGGGTCAAAGTGACCCAGTACCCTTGCTTAGCATTGAAGATAAAGAAGTTTCTGAAAACAGTGAGGGAAAGAGCGGGAAGGAACTGGTTCTATTATCACAGACAGTGCCATAAACAGAAGCACCTATTTATGCTGGGCTCCACCTAATTGTCATTGAGATAGAGGGTCAATACCCTAATCAATAATTAAAATTGACATTTTGAAAGAATTCCATAACAATTTCAAAAAGTGTCATTGCACCCACTATCTTATATAAGCCTTACCACAAATCAGTGAAATAAATTATCAGGTAATATCCGAAGAGTATACATAATATCGTCTTTTGTTAGATGAGACCAGCAAAGTGTGGGGGTTTCTGAGCCAATCAGTGGTAAATCCTGAGCTAGAACATAGGTCTCTTGATGCTAAATTATTTGCTGTTCTTCAGCACCACATTGCCTCCATTTGTATTTCACTGGGATAGATACACCGCCTAGGTCCTCTTTCTTGAAGTAAACTTGCTGTTTGAACTTCAAAGAACAGCATCTTTAGAAGAAATGAAAAACAAACAAAAAAAAGGAACAGATCGTTCTTCTGTCCTTCTCAAACAGAAAGTTTCTCTGAGAGCATTAATGCAGGGGCCTTTAAAAACAGTATGCTAAAAATAGATAGGGCTCAAAAACAGTATCTCCAACTGAACTTTTAATAAACTCCCGTAGGCGCCAAAAAGGCGGGTAAATAAAAAAAAAATATAAAAACAAGGTACTAAGTAAAAGGTTACATGTGGGAAAAGAAAGTTTGTTTTGCATTACATTCTTTCTACTGACGTGAGGTTTATAAAGTATAAATAAAGTGAGACAAAAGCTCTAAGTGCGGCCGCCATGTTCTCTGTGTGTCTTTGTCTTTGTGTGTGTTCTTTCATTCTCCACCACCCCCGGTGCGGCCCCCAACACATTAACAGAAATATTACACAGAATAAAATGTCTTAGATGTGCTAAGCATACGACGTAAGTAATGATGAGTAAAATGTAAGTATTGACGTGTGAAAATCTGTTGATGATTTCTTATGCTCTACAAGCAGTTTATTAACTGTTTTGATTGTTTATTTAAATTCTATGTAAAAGGCATTTATCATCCCCCTTTTGTAGATAGGAAATGTAAGGTATGAAAGGTTAACTTACCCAAAGTCTCTCGGGGCTCTCAAAGTTAGCCTAACAACGTCTAAATGTATGTCTAGCCAATGTACCTTTCATTCTCTTAACATTTGAGGTCGTTTAGAAAAGCTCTGTCAATAACAGATATGAGCACTGATAGACAAAGAGTTTGATATTGTGATTCTCAGAGATTTATTAATACTTTAAAATACATTTGGTTAAATAAAAATGTTGTATATCCTAAAGAGAAAATATAATTACAGTTGATGAAAATTGTCTTTCTTAGGATTCACATATATTAATCAGCAAGATAGGAAAATATTATTTGTTTTCCATCTGATGGTATAAATAACACGCTTCTGTCTCCCCCTCTATTCTGATAAATATTTTTCCTGCTTCAGTGCAGGATTTCCCCAGGCTCTGCTGAGATTTTTCAGTCAATTCTTTAGCCCAGAGATTCCTTAGCCAGAGATCTGGGCTCTCAATTTCTAAGAGTTTCTAAAAATAATACTAAAGTTTCATGATATATTTCTTTTATTTAAAAGAGCTTTAAAATAATATTATTTATTGCTGCTTATATTTTTCCTAGTGGCTATATATTTTGCAATAAAATAACACATACAACATTTATTTAACATTCTTTTCTTAGCGACTCAATGCTCTTGGAACTTTGTGTTGATAAGCGATTGAGGAAATTAACAGGATTGTGAATTTTTCTTCAGGATAGTAAGTTAAATAGACAGAAACCTTTATATCTCTTGTCTTACCTTTAATAACTGATTTCTACTTGATCCCTTTGCTTGCTCCTGTCCAATGCTTAAATTCACTGAAAAGAAAGCAGAAAAAAAAAAAAAAAAAAAGAGAAATCTTTCTTCTTAGAGGAAGCATTCACGCTAATTCTCCTAGGATAAGCAGGAGATATAGCTGGAACAGATTCTGTAGAACACCTGTAAAAGAAGTAGGACAACTGAAACTGTTTACCCCTTCCTTGTGATGTTACTCTGCATTCAGCAGAGATTGAGTCTTTTGTTCCTTTACTTTTCTTTAAAGATAATATCGCAATTTTTTATATCACAGTAAAATACATTTCAGTATACGGAGTGTATCACGCAGTGCAGCTGTCATATCAATTGCAGTTAATTTCAGTTGTGGAGTCTCCAGAGTTGACTCTCAAATAAGCATCCTAACTTAAGTAAAATATATTTCTCGTTAGTTGGTCTCTAGAGACTGTGTCTCTCATGTCACCTCATCGTAATCTGCTTATTTGTCACCTCTGAAATTAAGAAAATCACAGGTCTTTTTCATCTTCTCTACTTTACTCTTGGGACACCTGGACCCAGCAGAGAATGAATTTGAGCCCCATATTCCTAACCACCATGAACCATCCTTCTTCTGTCTCCCCTGATAGCTGGAGGTTTGCCCTTGGGAGAATCAAAAGAATCCACAAAAGAGCAGATTAGCTCTACCTGGGGCCCCATCTTCTATAAGTGTACATGTTAGCAGTTAGGCTACCTGGATAGTGGTGACGGAGGTAGAGAAAAGAGGAAGGTCTTGGCTTGGAAATCTGATTGTATGACTTTGGGCGTTTCACTAAATCTTTCTGTGTCTTAGCTTTTTCCTTTCTAATATCTACCTTATAGGGTGACTCTGGAGAGAAAATAATTTAACAAATGTGAATTGCTGCATCCAATACATATAATAATTAATAAATGAGTTTCCCTTACCCTTACATTCTTCCCCACTCTCCAGAGTAAGAAATAGTTATCAGTAGCCAGGCACAGTGGCTTATGTCTGTAATCCCAACACTTTGGGAGGCCAAGGCTGGTGGATCACCTGAGGTCAGGAGTTCAAGACCAGCCTGGCCAATATGGCAAAACCTTGTCTCTACTAAAAATACAAAATTAGCCTGGCATAGTGGTGTGCATCTGTAATCCCAGCTACTTGGGAGGCTGAGGCAGGAGAATCACTTGAACTCGGGAGACAGACATTGCACTGAGCCGAGATGCTGCCCCTGCACTCCAGCCTGAGCGACAGAGCGAGACTACATTAAAAAAAAAAAAAGAAAACAAAAGCCAACAACAAAGGAAATAGTTATCAGCCTATGTAGCCTAGATTGAGACATATGGGGTGCCCTATTGTCCAAAGATATCTTCCATATAAAAGACATAGAATCTGAAACAAATTCATCAATATCTAATCATCATTCACATTATTTATGCTACTTTGAGAAGGCACTTTAATTAATCCATCTCTCTGTATTAGTCAGTCAGTGCAATTTGCATGAATTGCTGAGAGACATAAAGACTTTAAAACTGTTTTGTTTTATGTCAAGCAATTCAGACAAGAAATATTTGCATTACTTTGATTAAGTCTTGACCTTCTTGCTTTTTAAATTAATACCTTAA